GAGGGGATTTAAGTGACTACTGTTGGTGCCAGATGCAATGGTCTGAGTATTTCAGAAACTACAGATCTGCTGGGATTTTCAACCATAACCATCTCTAGGGTTTACAGGGAATGGTCCAAAAAAGAGAAAATGTCCAGTGACTGGCAGTGGTGTGGACAAAAATGCCATGTTGATGTAAGAGGAGAATGGACAGCCAAGTCATCCAAGACATGCAGAATACCATCTCTGAACTTTTCAACACTCCATCCAGACCGTGAAGGAGATGCATTAGCCGAACACCACACCCACACCGGACAAATCTGCAGCAGCTTGATGCTAAAAGTTTCCAACACCTCGTTGAACCTATTTCACCAAGAACCAACGCAGTTCTGAAGACATGAGACGATCTTTGCCCATTGTGCACAATGAACTGGTGAGTGTAAATTCAAGACCCTAAATTTTTTCCTATTTTGCACAATCTCCAGAGGTCTTTTAGAGATAATCAGATTTGGGGTTGTGAATGTAAAGTTTTAGGAATTATATCACCTCTGAAAGAAATTCTATGACTGAACATATTCACAAGAATTTCACTTGTGTGTGGATGAAATACATTTGTTGGTCATCTTCAAACAGCATATTTAAGAAAATGTGACTACATTTAAAATTGTCCAAATTTTCTTGAAATTCTGAAGAAAGGTCTTCCTAACAAAGTTGAGTAGAAAAAGATGTTTTTTTCCACTAAAATTGCTTTAAATGATCATATTTTGATACAGTTTTACCAAGTAATTTTATATTCACACCACTTCATCAAAAGTTCGTCGAACTAAAAAAAATTGTACTAAAAAATGGCAAACCCTATTTTAATGTGTACTGTAATTTAAAATCTTCATGTGATCTCCAGTATTATACTTTAAAACCCCTTTTGCAATATGTAGCATGGGCTAGAAAAATATCTGAGCCAGTATTACATCAGCCTTCAAACCATAAAGTGCCAAGCGAGAGGTTCTAGACAGAAATGAACCACTTTACAAGTAATTTCTCCTGACTAATTTCCCCACAGAGCTCAATAAAAAAATTAATGAGGAACAACTGATAAAGGGATCCATGTACGGAGCTTCGTTCTAACAGTGTTATGGTTCGAGGTTGATATGGCACCTCAAACGGTTTTTGATTTGCACTAATTTAACCAGCCATTTATTCCAAACCACTGAAATCATTATGAACAGGAAGTAGACTTGTGTGGGAGGTTTGTTCCAATCCTGTGAATTTAAAGTATTTAACTCAAAAAATGTAGATTAAGGGTCTATATGTCAAACCTTAATTATTATAACACTTAAGTGCACAAAGCTTGAAATTTTCTATTTTGTATTGTATTAAACACACAGCTCTTTGTACTTTACTGAAGCTGTAGGGGTTCATGCTGTGTGACCAAACTCAAATAGAGTTTATAAAAATTGGCAATGTTTAGTCTTCACTGTAGAAAATCTGGCAATGACAAATCATAATTGCTCTCCAAAGACTATTTAGTTTCTTTGGTGTGGAAAAAAAAGAAAAACTTGTCTCTGACCTTCACAAAGAGAGGTTGTTTATGAGTCTCCACACTGTCCACATGAGAGGTGTTTAGCTGAAAAGCAGGCCTGTTGTTGGCCACCAGAGGTTCGTAGCAGCAGTATCGAGCACATGTACCAATTTCTCTGTCTGGCACCTACATATTGATGGTTGCTGTATCAAAACAATGGCCTCCCTCTGAGTGTAATAACATTGGCCCGGTCTCTTATTTGTCTGACAAGATCCTGTTCCTGGAACATTGTGCTTTGACCAGGGTTATCGTTTGTACACCTAAAGAAACAGAAACCGTTTTTCATCACTTTGAGGTTGCATAGCTATACACCTATTGAAGGAAAAACTTGCAGAGATTATTTGCACCAGGTTTTAGGCAGGTGTTTTGGATATTCAGCCAGCAGGTTAGCAGCTTGACCAGTGTAAGGTTAGAAGGCGGGGTGAACATTTTGTCAGAATCCTGAAGACGTTCAGGTGCCCATTTACTGAGAGGGAGTGGGGTCACAGCATCCATGCCCTGCACCTTCAACCGAGTCGCATGAGTGCTCTTGCACAACAACCAGGCTGCATTGTAAGCACATTCTCTTCCCCCCATGACCGTACTTCCACTTTAGAATTTAGCAGTTCCAAAAAATCTGTCCTTGACTGCTCAGCACATAGGCTTTCTTATACCTTAATAATTAATTATGCAAAGTATTACTTGTCAAAGAACAGCTTGGTGACCTGCCTGTGCCTCATCGATTGGGGAATATTTCCTGCATCCCTTTGAAGGATGTCTTAAAGAACACTATTAACTCTTGGTGAAAGAGCCAGAGAGTTGGCAAACACATAAATTATGAATTACACTCTTGTCCTGAGCCTTCACAAGGAGAGGAAAGTAAGGAATCGGGTTATTATAACATTTTTTTTCTTTTTTTATATTTGGAAAACACAAATACTAGGTAACGTTTAGAAATGTTCTATTCTCAGTGGTGATTCATGAGTTTGCTGATTGCAGGAGCTCCCCCACAGTGAGATCATGGGGCCACCTGCCAGAGGGGCTCCTCAAGAGGAGCAGTTTAACACCACTGTTAGGGGCAAGGTCATTATGAAATTAGTATCTGCCCCCAGTTTTTTTCCATGACCTAAAATCATGGACAAATTAATGAACAGGCTATCAGGACACTTGCATTCAACACCAAGTGGGCCATCTTAACATCTACCTGTATCTAATAAAGTCATTATTCTTGCCAAGCTAATTTTATTGATTTATTTTTAACCACGATTTTATTGGATTTCAGTGTTTAGCCTTTGGGGTCTTAAGAGGCACTTGTGTATGCCTGTCAGTTTAAAACTTGTTTAAAAAAACTTGTTATTGTTAAACGTAGCTAAATGACCAGAGCAAATAAAGAAAGGAAAAATGAGAATGATCACAAAATGTCCCAAATTTGGTAAAAATTATGTATTCAGATGTTCAATAAATAAAGAAATTAAAATAATAATAATAATATTAATAATAATCATTATTTAAATGAAGACATAAGCTGTGACATAAAATTAGTATTCCTTATAATGAGCATTTTTACCAGTATAATGGTCTTGCCAAATCAGAATTATGATGCAATGTTTAATTCATCAAGTTAGACTCTGTCCACATGGTGTTTTGTGAATATGCAAGTTTTATTTTAAATCATTTCAGCATTATGGCATTTGATAAACTTGAACATATTTTGAAAATGGGTTTTGTTGTGAAAATGTCTTGAAATGAAATCTTTGCAGATTTTTTTGCAAACAAGTAAAATGCACCTTTTTGAAAACAATGATGTCATAGACCCACCTACTACCTTACACGCCAACCCATTGTCACTCCCGACTCATCAACATATTGACGCTTGGTCAGGTAGCCGTCTGTGTCCAGCTTCAGACGTGTCGGGTACCCTCCTTGCGTCAGTTCTTAACGAGATTAGGCGGAGGAGGAGCACGTTGTCATAGGAAACTTACAACTAATCATCCCAGACCCTAAATTTAAATTACATTAGCCCTATACAGCCTATCCCCGACCTCAGTACCTAAAATTAACCATTAACCCTGATCCCTCATATTAACCATTTTTGAAAGTGTAGAGAATGTGCGAGAACTAACTGTCCCAGACCCTAAATTTAACTTCTATTAGCCATATACAGCCTATCCCTGACCTCCATCCATCCATCCATCCATCCATCCATCCATCCATCCATCCATCCATCCATTTTCTGTACACGCTTCTTCCTTTCAGGGTCGCTTGGGTCACTAGTGCCCATATCCAGCAGTCAGAGTGCGAGGGGCGGGGTACACCCTGGACAGGTCGCAAGTCCATCACAGGGCCACACTTAGAGACAAATGAGACAAACAACCATTCACTCTCTCACTCATACCTAGGGACAATTTAGAGTTATCAATTAAACTAACAGTCATGGTTTTGGGTCATGGAACCCATGCATGCACGGAGAGAACATGCAAAATCTACCCAGAAAGGTCCTTGGGCCAGGATTTGATCCAGTGACCTTCTTGCTGAGAGGCATCAGCTGTACCAACTGAGCCACCATCTATCCCTGACCTCAGTACCTAAAATTAACCATTAATCCTGATCCCTCATATTAACCACAGACCCCCAACCCAAAGATCCTTAAGTGGCGCAACCTGGAAAAGCTGCGTGTGGCAATGACTGATGCAAGGGGGTTGCCCAACGCGTCAAAACTGGATGCAGACAGTACCTGACCAAGCATCACTATGAGACGAGAACGTGTTGTACATGCAACTCCAAGCATGACAGACACAGCAAAAATACTGGCAAACTCAATGTTTGCATTTGTGTTGCATCCATTTTCATCACTTTGAGTTGCCAAGTAGCCTCCTGACATCTGTGAGATACCAGCTTTAAGACCTCTCCAGGTTTTTACACATTGCATTCACTCTTTCAAACTTGCAGTGCTTTCAATTATATATTTTAGTGTCTTGCCTAAGGATACTTATGCACACTGGTGGGGATTGAATCTCAGACCCTCTGAATAAAAAAATAAATAAATAAATAAAAAACAGACTCAACCACCAACCTTTCCCAATAAAAGAAAGCCAAATTGCATAAAAAATATTTTGAATATGCAGGCAGATAAGTCCCAAATTATATCAGTAACTGTGGTTTTTGTCTTCCTCTATTTGGGGTGTTCTGGACCTCAGTGGGATTAAAGTGGGTGGGGTGATGGGGCTAGTCCACGTCTCTGCCCAGGGGTCCATTGCTTCATAATCCAGACTCAACCACCAACCTTTCCCAATAAAAGAAAGCCAAATTGCATAAAAAATATTTTGAATATGCAGGCAGATAAGTCCCAAATTATATCAGCAACTGTGGTTTTTGTCTTCCTCTATTTGGGGTATTCTGGACCTCAGTGGGATTAAAGTGGGTGGGGTGATGGGGGCTAGTCCTCTCTGCCCAGGGGTCCATTGTTTCATAATCCGTCCCTGTCCTGAGTGCTAATCTCCTCACAAATTCACCTTATGTCTCTTTTAAGATGGCGCTTCGTGTGAGTGGAACAGTAGGAACAACTGTTTTGGGAGCCGCTTGAGTTTAGTGCATACCATCGGGAGGACGGCTTCTCGGGACTTGAGAAGGCGCAAAGTGACACGAGTGTAGCCGAGTGAATCCGAAAATCCCGCTGACCGACCGGTGCGCGTTTTCCCCCACCACGGAGGCAGAGGGAGAAGCGTGACTGCGAGACTGGCGTGGGGAGAGAGAGACAACTCCATGCCTTCCGCGGCTCCTTCTGCGCGGACCGTGGACCGACTTCTGCGAGCGAATTAACTTAGAGAGGAGCGTTTCACTCGCGAGAAGAGAAGAAATAACATTTCCTCTCGCCTCCTCCGGCTGCTGGCGGAGAGACGCTCGAGCTGCCACGAATAGATCCAGTATCCACGACCCCCCCCCCCCCCCCCCCCCCCCCCCCTCCCGGTTGGCTGGGTCGGTTGACCGGACCGCGTGTTCGTCCTCCGGAGGTGGGCTCGTCGTATCTTAACCCCCCGCACTTCCTCTCTTGGTTCTAACTTCTCTGTGGATTGTCGTGTTTTGACGGGACTGGACTCTGTGGGTTCGGAGAAGGAGAGAAATGCCAACGGCGGCGACAAAGAGGAGATTCAGTAAGTGACCTGTTATCTTTTTTTTAATTATTTTATTTTATTTTACTCCGTATTCTCCGTTCAACTTGACACTTGCCACCAAGTTACCGAACTCAGCAACGCATTTCCCAAACCTGTTTATTATTTATTTAAATTAGGATTTAAAACGGGTGAAATAATAAGCAAGCTGCGTCTGAGGCAGCCCGGCATGTTTTTATTTAACTTATAACGCGAAGCCAAAGGCAACTTTTGCATCAACTGGAGCACATAATCATTAGTTTTAGCCTTGCTCTTCCTTTCCCCCTTGCAGTTAAGTAAAGTTAACGTGATAGAGTCGAGGCAGAATATTAATTTCATTCACTTGTCAAGTGATTATATCTTTTCTCCATCAATGAACGCAGAAACCTGCTGCATGGTTTCTACCCTGCCCCTCATGCACCTCTCACAGGACTGCTTGACGTCGCAGCAGTCTTTGCTGGGGATGTAATTTTCAACCGAGCAGAAAATCTGTCCAGAATAATTAATGAAATAATAAAAGAAAAGGGAGGGAGGGGGAGAGAAGTGGTGGTTTTTTATGTGGGATGCGAGCCTGTCTTCGCCCTGTTCTTTAATAGCCCATTGCAATGAAATGATTTTCTTTGACCCGTCATGATAATAAAGCAGATTTGCTTTGGCTTTTTCTTTCCACTGCGCGTGCGTTCAAGACAAAACCTCCCCCCTCCCTCCACCCTTCATCCATCCTTCATCCATCCACCTATCTATCCATCATCTTTAGACACAGACGATGCAAAAAAAAAAAAAAAAACACCTGTCATCCTCTATGTGTTGTTATGCTTTTTGCAACTATTCCCCGCCACTGCAACGCTGGCTGCAGAGACAGTTTTCATTCCAAAGATTTGCACCATGCAGCAGAGTTGGAAGGAGAGAGAGAGAGAGAAAAAAAAGAGGATAAAAAATCATGGAGCATCATTTACAGGTGTGCCACTTTATATAATTACCTCCAGGCGTTGAGGGAGGGCGGGGGGCTTCGCTGGCTGGATGTGCAGAAGGACACAGGAAGATGGCCAGCATTACATCAAAGCCTTCTGCTCCTGTTTTCATTCATTTATTTATATATTAAAGGACAAAAAAAAAAAAAGATTTCTGCACAGTGAGTCACATGCTCATATAGCCCCAATTGCCACTCTTTATTAATACATAAATTTAATTAAAGCTGTCACAGGCACAATGAAGAGGGCTGAGATGATGCAGGGTGGGTTAGTTTCTTGGAATTGCATCAGAGGTTTTCTGAAACAGATCTCAAGGCCTCGCTGCATGTTCGGTCTCTAACCTTCACATCCTGCCAACCGAATAGGCCGTAACGAGCTGCATGTTGGTGCTATATTTGCAGCATTGTTTTTATAAACTCATCTAGTTTGCAGGTTATGAGATCATTGTGGCTGCGTTTGCTTGTGGATCTTTGTGTTTCGATTCATCATGCATTGATGATTTATGGGGTTTTACTTGAATTGATTTAGCAAAACAGGCAACTGTCAGATACGGTTTGGCTTACAGATTTAGCATTACATGTTGGTATCTTATAGATAGATATCATATAAACCTGTGTTGACAGCTGTGATAGGTGTCATGCAGCTGAAGCATCAATGGTTTTTTTTTTCATCATGCTGACTAGATAAAGTCTGCAGAGGAGCTGTGAGATTTTATTATTATTATTTTTTACCAAGTCCTTGTTTTATTCTGTTTGTGGGCTGTGAAAGTCAGAATCAGTCTGACATTTTTTAATGCTATCTGTGAGGTTTGCTAATATCTTAAGCGGTTTGTTTCAGTGGGAACAAACTCCACAAGGTATTAGATTAATTTTAATCAAAACCTAAAGGTTATTCAAGGGAAAACGTGTGACTTAAATGACCATTACTCCTGGGGGATCGCAGAGTGGTCCACAGTGTGTTGCTACGTTGCTGTCTCTTTTTTTGTCCCTTTCCATAAAGGTGTTTCTGTTGTGATTTTTGGAGTGCTGACCGTGCATGAAAAGAAGCCAAGGTCCTTAGCTGGTGACATCATTAGCTAGGCACAGTGCAGACAGCCAAAGGTGGAGCTATAATATTCCATCCTATGCTATAGTGTCACTCACATAACAATAATTAAAGTCAAATAAATAACCTGAACTCTTTTTTATTATAATTGCACACATAATTGATTGAAAATGGGAAAGAGGCTCAGCTTTTTTGAACACAAGTCACCCTAGAACATCCAGCTGAATTCATTATGTTTTATACATGTGGTCACTAACATGCGGAATGTGGCAGTTTGAGCACAGTTCTGAATATTGGTACATATAGCATTAATGTTGATCAGAGAAAATCACTTTCTGTGCTGAATATTTAGCATTTAATTATGTATTACACAACACCTGGTTCTTTGGGTACTTTGGATACAAAGCTCATCTTAAGCTCAAGGCTAATGGACGATCTTACTCCTTGGTTCTGATTTTTTGCTCTGAAACATCTGAATGGAGGCATTGATTTATGTTTCTGCCATTTTTGCACTTTTTTCTTCAAATTTGGCCACTTGACAGCTGTTCTTTGGCAACTATGCTATCTTTTCTCTTTACAAGTTATTCGGTTGCTGTGGTGGCTCATCATTATATCATTCAACCTCTCCAGACTGCCGCTTGTTCTGTGAGCATTCTCAGACTCCACTGCAGCTAACAATTGTAGTTTGCTATTTTGCCACAGGCAATCTTTGGTTACGTCATTGTTCTGCTCTGTTACTGTGGGAGATCGATGTAGCGGCACGTCCGCACCAGCTGCTGGATCTGCTTGGAGTGGCCCTTCAGCTTGCAGCAGGCCTCTTTAAGATCAGGACAAGGACTGCTATCACCTGCTACAATCCAAAACTGGTGGAATTGGAGTCTGCCGATTGGCGGACTGAAAAAATGGCTAAATAACATTCAGATATTGCAGGAAGAGAGACTTGAAGCGGATAGAGCTGGTTAGCAGAGACTGTACTTTTGAATAACATGTGCCTATCTAAAATCTGTGGTTCTGAGAAGCAGATCCACTGTATATAAAATGAAACATGTAGTTCGGGTGACACACGGGACCAAGGTTGATATGGCCATTCTTCTACTAAAGATGTTGCAAATTTACTTACTTTGGTTATGTTACATTTGTTGGTGTGGATACATTTTTGGTCTGTGGGAAGATGTGTCTGATCTTGCAACGGTTATTTCCCACAGGCCTAGCCTTGGTCTAGTTTGAGCATCTGTTTCAGAATCCTTGTGTCCTGTATTCCTTGGCAGGGACCACACTGAATGGCACTGTTGGAGAGCTCCAGCTTGTCTGTGGCCATACGTTGGAAAACCATGCAGCTCAGCCCTACTTCAGTTGACATTTCTCATGCTTTCCATGTGGGTCAAAATCTTTGTAATTTCAGAGCCTTGGAGATTTAATGAGAGGTTTTACCCATGGTGTGTTGGTCTGTGGTGGGTGGGTTCAGCGTTTCTCGAGTTTATTGGAGTTTATAACTACTCTGAGATGCCTCGCTAGCCCACACTGAGGGCGTTGGTACAAAAAAAGTAAAAAACTCTTATTTTAAAACCACACAAACTGGTTCTAACTGGTTGGCGTGGGTCTCAGATCAATTCTGGAAGCTTGAGTTTCCGTTCAGGGTTGCAAATTAGGCCAGTTTCTGTTTGTGTCAAGACTCAGGTAAAGATGCCGTGTGTGCAGATTTTTTCTGCTTATAGAATCAGAATGTTTTGCTCCTGCATCTATAGGGATGCTGATATGGTGCTGTTTAGAATCTCATCCCCGTACAGAGACAGGGCGCTCTCGGTAGCACGCATGGCGGATTTTTAACAATGCCTTTTCTTGAACGTCAGCAGCGCCGAGGCAAAGAGTGATTTACTACTCTGTCTACGAGGGTAATGTAGGAGCAATTTGACTGCTGATTGAAACCAGGTCTCCCATTTCAGAGTCCGCTGGTGACATTATAAACCATTTACACCAATGTTTTACAGGGCACTCCTGCGTTTGGTAAAGTGGAAACAGATGCATGGCCTAAAAATGGCCTGTGCTACCACCACAGCCCTATTTTTACCCAGGCCTTGTGTGATTTGTTATTTTGTTTCAAAGTGTATGAGTTCTGCTGAGTGAAATAGTAAGGAGGACATAGAAAGGCTAAATGTTAGGTTAATCAGTCCTGCCTGTTTTTCATTTAAGTCAAAGGACCTCCTAGATATAAGGGGTGTGTCTGGTTTTGATTATGCTGCCTTTTCTGTAAGTGGGGACACCGCCTCCCACCCATTTCTAGCCATTAAGAATATATCAGAGCTGAAGTTCAGTTTCTTTGTTTCTATCAACATATTTAGGACAACAGCTTTTGCTTTAATGAACCAAGCAGCCTCCATTTAGTTTTTTTCTTTCTAAAACACAAGTCATTAAAAAGTCATTGCATTACTAAACACAAAAAGAAAGTGCTTCTCAAAGAGAGAGAGGGTGCGAAAATTACAGTGAGCAAGGTCCAGATTTTTTTAATCTTAACCTTTAGGAGTTCGAATCCTGCTTCCTCTTTTTTAGTGACCAAAACTCAACAACAGGTGCAGCTGGTTCACTTTTCCAGAAAAAAAAGACTGACAGGAACTTTAATGTAAGGAAATGGCAAGATGTGCTGAGTTATGACAGGGTTAACTCAGTGCATGCATGGGGACAAAACAAAGTGGACTCAAATGTACATATAGCTACAAAACCCTTTCGTATTTGCCAAACCGAATAGATTTTTGATGCAAATTTCTAGAGATATTGGTCAGTTTTAAGATTTAAAGCCTTTTGCTGATTACTTTAGCAACAGCCCTGGAAGATAGCACTGCTCTTTATTTTTATTGAGAGAGTATCTGGTGTGAGAAATGCATCTCTCAGACAACGATGGAAAATCATAGACACAATGTGCAGTGAGCTGCCAATTGGTATGCATGACAAAGTCTGCAGTGAAATGTAGAAAGTGTTGCGATTCATCTGCCG